GCATCGTGTCCCACGATGCGGGGCAGTGGGCCGTCGTCGACCACGTGCGCGTCGTGCGCCCGAACGGGCGCACCGAGACTTCCGATTGGGAGCGCTGCCGCACATACTTGTGGGCCTGGGTGTGGCGCATGCGGCGGTCAGGCAAAGACCTGCCCCAAGAGTTTGGCAACGCCCTGCGCGCGACCCGAAATGGTTCGCTTTGAGTAGTCGCATCTGGAGTGCAGCTCGCCCGCGTGCAGAGAGCGCGGGCTGCGGCCGTCCGTGTACAGTTTGGGCAGCTTCTTACGTCTTCGTTGGAAAAATCATACAAACCGCCCAGGCCTACATCCGGCCTGCTTCGAGGAGAGGGAGGAGGAGGAGGAGGAGGAGGAGGAGGAGGAGGAGGAGAGGAGGAGAGGAGGAGGAGGAGGAGGAGAGGAGGAGGAGGGAGGAGGAGAGGAAGAGGAGGATTGGATTGGATTGGACACGTCGGGAGCAAGGCTGGGCCATCCAGCAACGAAGGATGGAGAGCCGACCCTGCACCGCTAAGCGGCACAGGGCGGCCGTCCAAACAACATGCCAGAGGACCCGACCCAGAGATAACAACCGCGATGAGTCCCACGCAGTGCAACGCAGGGGCAAGCCAGCGGTAGGCTACAAACCAGTTCCATTGGTTGCCACCGCTGGCCACGAGGAATCAATGAACCGCGCGCGATATAGCACAGTCGCTTGGACACAAACAATATCCTCCTCCGCCTCCTCGTCCTCCTCCCCCTCCCCAAGCCTCCACCACCCTATAATCGAGCAGACAACTCCGGGGGAAGAGGCGGGGGGAGGGAGGGATACATAATGAGGCAGGAAGGGAGGGGGAGGCTAAACGGGAGCAAAACGCTTGGCCCTCACATCCTCCTCATTGTCCTTGCTCTTGGCAGGAGGCGCTCCCGTACTGAATCGAGCAAAACGTTCTTCACGAGACACATGGCGAGCAGCAGGGGCTCGCACCTGGGCCCGCGAGTCATGGCCATCTGCCCAGGCGTCCCGACTGGCAGAGGGGGCGGCAGCATCGCCAGGAAGAGCTCCAGGAAGCGGCGCATGTCCCGCCTGGCAGGCAGCGCCTGCAAAGGGAGCAACTCCACTGCCGTGAACAGCTCCAGAAGCACGAGGAGTGGGTGCAGCATCAGCAGCAAGAGGAGAAGCATGAGGGTTGCCGGGGGGCGCACCAAAGGCCTCCTTGGCCTTGCCCTTGCCGTTCCCGATGACCTTGCCCTTGTCCTTACCGACCTCGGAGTAGGGCCCATCACTTGGGCCTCGGCTTTCGCGATCTGCACGAGAGTGGCCAGGAACGCCAGAGACAACATGGGGCTCAGATTCACCGAGACCGTGAACAGTTGCCGAGAAGTTCAAGTGCCCAGCTGACGCGAGCAGCATGCGGAGCTCTGCAATCTCCTGTTTCATCACGCTGAGCTCGCGTCGCAACTCGCAGACCTCCGAGGCCCCAACACTACCTGGAGCGGAGGTGTGATGCGCGGCACTGGCCTGGCGCAGCGACAGCAGCCATTGCACGTTGCGGGCAGTGGAGCGCTGTTTCTGCTCGCGACGGCGGCGAGCAACACCAGACGAGGCAGCGCCGACAGCCGCGCCAGACATGGCCGCGGCGGCGCGAGCGGGGCAGTCAACCTGGGGAGGTCGCCTGCCAAGCGGCCGCGGGGGTCGACCCGGGAGGTTGACCCAAAGCGGCAGCTTGAGGAGGAGGAGGAGGAGGAGGAGGAGGAGGAGGAGGAGGAGGAGGAGGAGGAGGAGGAGGAGGAGGGCGAGGAGGAGGAGGAGAAGGAGGAGGAGGAGGAGGAGGAGGGAGGAGGGAGGAGGGAGGAGGGCGGGTGATGATGATGATGATGATGATGATGATGATGGTGATGATGATGATGATGATGATGATGATGATGATGATGATGATGATGATGATGATGAGATGATGATGATGATGATGATGATGATGATGATGATGATGATGATGATGATGATGATGATGATGAGGATGATGATGATGATGATGATGATGATGATGATGATGATGGTGGTGGTGGTGGTGGTGGGTGGTGGTGGTGGTGGTGGTGGTGGTTGGTGGTGGTGTGGTGGTGGTGGTGGTGGTGGGTGGTGGGTGGTTGTGGTGGTGATGAGGAGGAGGAGAGGAGGAGGAGGAAGAGGAGGAGGAGGAGAGAGGAGGGAGGAGGGAGGAGTAGGAGTAGGAGTCAAGCTAGCCAGCTCGAGCGAGTCAAGCATGGCATGCCCAGTCCCACCCGCCCTCCCACAACATAAGAAGCAAAGCTGGCACAACTGGGGGCCGAAGTCACACCGGCCAGCCGGTTTGGTACAGCTGATGCGGCCGCGATGGCGGTTGCCGACGGGAACTGGCGAGCGCGTGTTGAATGCCGCGCACGCATTGCCAGACGAGTCGAGAATGGCCCGGTACACCGCAGGAAGCCAGAGGTGGCCGGAGGAAGCCCGACGGTCTGACAGGACACCCCAAAGCATTTTTGTGAAAAAGCATTGGGTTTTTGATGTTTTTATGTTGAAATGCTTGCAAACACACGGTGTTCGGTAGGATTCTGACATGAACGCGCGAGTGTGCTCTTTGTGGTATTTTTTGCACAGGATTCGCGGCCTGGGTGCATGACAGAGCATCGCGAGTGCACCGCGCGATGACGTGAAATCGCTGGATTTGACAGAATTCTTAAGATTCCTATGGTTTTCCTATGATTTCAGCAAGAGAGCCCGGGCGGGAAATTTGTACAATTTTTGTGAAAAAGCATTGGGTTTTTGATGTTTTTATGTTGAAATGCTTGCAAACACACGGTGTTCGGTAGGATTCTGACATGAACGCGCGCGTGTGCTCTTTGTGGTATTTTTTGCAATGGATTATCGCCGTGGACGACAGGACGTCCATGTCGAGAGGAAAAAATAAGAAACATGTTGATTTTGTATTGTTTTTTACAGGTTAAGATGGGACCACCCAGATGCGCCCGCTATCTGCCGGCCTGAGGGGGGAGTAGGAGTATATTCTAATAAGGAATAAGGATAGGAGGAGGAGGAGAAGGAGGAGGAGGAGGGGGAGGAGGGGGATGAGGTGGGGTGACGAACGAAATGGGTACGGAAAGGATGGGTACAATGCCCAACAGCAGTTCCTGTTCTTTTTGAACAGGGCTCGCTGTCGGTGTCGCCGCGGCCTGTGCACACTTGAGACGGGAGGCCGCGTGCCCAACAGCGGCCGCTGTTGGTTTGGGGCAACATGTGTTGTTGGGCACTGTACCCACTTTTCCCGTACTCATTTCGAGCGTCCAAGGGTGAGGAGGTGCGGGAGGGAGGAGGTGCAGGAGGAGGAGGAGGAGGAAAAGGAGGAGGGGGGGGAGGAGGTGCAGGAGGAGGAGGTGGAGGTGGACTTGCCTTGCTTCCCAGCCGTCGACCACGCGGCAACGAGACCCGAGCCCTGCCCTCGCCGATCAACGGCTCGGGCAGCTCGATGGGGCTTGGGCAGCTCGATGGGCGGCGTGGGTAGGGTTCGGAACCCGTCGAGCACGTTGCGAAATCCGAACCCTACCCCCGCCTCCCACGACTCGGGAGAACCAATTGTTGGTGGGGGTCAGATCCGGATGTCGCCACCTGAGCACGTTAGACTTCATAAGGGATGTTCGGCTTTGCGCACGCCTCCACCTGAGCGGCGCAAAAAACGGTGCTGTCTTCACCAGTATTGTAAGCTGCCCGCGTGAGGTCGCACGCACGTGCCCTCGTGTTCAGAATCGGGTGCCACGCTGGCGGTCCGCGTAAGCCGCGGCGTAAGACCGCTGTGCCACCTCGCGCAAGAACCTTTTTTTTCAGATCCTCGCGCACACATGGTTCGGATGAAACTCCTGGGAGGTCAAATTCTGATTCAGCCCTGGTCCGAAATCCCGCTTAATCCGGCTTAATCCCGCTTTATCCCGCTTAATCCGGCTTAATCCCGCTTAGTCCCGCTTAATCCGGCTTAATCCCGCTTGGTCCGAGGACCACTCTGGCGTAACAGCTCCCCAATGGGGTGTAATCCTCCTTAATCCTTCCGACGAAAACCTCCCCGTAGTTGCCTCCTAAACATGTGTGGGGGAGTTCGCCTCGCACGCATGCCGTCTCTGTGGAATGAGCTCCGTTGATGGCACTCCGCCCGGCCGTCGGGCTGGGCTCGGGTCGAGGGACCGGGAGCACGCCGGCCTGCGCACGGAGCGGGCACGAGGAAGGCATCCGGCGAACACCCAGGAACGCAGCATCCATGTAGCACCTCAGACATACCCATCGGTCGTTGAAAGTAGGTAGATGTGGATTCCCAGATTGCAATCTACTTGAAGTGCGTTCCTACTTCAATGATCGAGTGGCTTCACATATTTCATCCTCTTTAGAGGGTTGGCGGACACCCAATCTACTTTCAATGCCTTCCTACTTCATGTTTCTACCTACTTCTTCCGACCGATCGGTACAGACATAAGCACGTTCGGCTAGATTATAGGACATGCATACATACTCACGCCCGGCTATAGGACACACATGCGTAAACACGGTCGGCCTGACTATGGGACTTCTCACCCACCCAGAACTATCAATCAAAGGTCCATCCGAACATGCACGCAGAAGCGCCGTCTAATGTCAGCCACAGTCAGCTAAATAAATATCACTAACACAGTCCACCTATTGTGTGAAGGTAGTGCCCTGATTGCACGGCACACCTCGGAAGGGGGCAGCCGATTTTCGGCATGGATCGCGTCTTGAATCATCTCCCGCAGCGTGCTGTTGACAGCCGGTCTGACAAGTCTCTTCAGAGGGCGTCTCAAAGGCAAGCCAACACAGCAGCTCGTTCTCGCTCCAGCGCGTGGCCGTTGATGTATTCGGCACGCAGCGGCGCCTATCGTTCTGCGGGTGTGTGCGTAGAAGAGGTGCCCCCTCAACTCTCCCCTCCCTGGCAGAGAGGAGGAAGGCGCCTTTGGGCATGGTGCGGCGAGGCTACGCTGTACTCCAACACGGCGCAGTGCCTGCTCAGCCTGGAGCTCTTCCGAAGAGCCTCGGAGGCCCCCAGCTTGCTGCCCGCCCCCCTTCCGAGGACCGACGACGTCGGCGACGAAGGGGGGACGCATCGACTCCCAATCGCCCACGGGTCGGCGATAGGGGCCCGAGATCCCACCCAGCCCAGGACCGTGCGGATCGGCCATCGGGGGCCTATAGATCGCCGATCAATCGGCGATGTATTGCCGATTCAAGCTCGATGTTTTCACCCATGAGCTGCTCACCCCCCAGCGTCGCCCCTGAGGTGACGGCGGCGACGACGACGTCGACGTCGACGGCGACGGCGACGGCGACGGCGACGGCGCGAGCGATCGAGCGCCAGACGCCATCGGCGGCTATTCCGAAGAACCTCGAGGGCTCCTGGCCCGTCGTGCAGTCCTGCTCCTCGACGTCGTCGCCGTTGTAGAGGGAGGGAGGAGGCACGGCCTCTCTACCCCCCCGTCGCCTCCCAGGGAGGAGGAGGATGAGGACGAGGACGAGGAGGAGGAGGAGGAGCAGGAGGAGGAGGAGGAGGAGCAAGAGGAGGAGGTGGAGGAGGAGGAGGGGGGGGGGGGGAGAGAGAGAAAGGAGGAGGAGGAGGAGAAGGGGGAGGGAGGGACCGACGTTCGAGGATGAATGATTTTAAGTGTTTGGGCTGTGTGTCAGGGTTTCCAGGAGCGTCCTCGTCTTCCGGGGTCCTGCGTGTAGAGGGTGAGGAGTTTCGAGGATCGAAGCTCGAGGATCGAAGCTCGAGGATCTATGGTGGTTGGCGTTTTTGTTGTGATTGTAGGGTCTTCACAGGCGTGCTCTTCGCTCCGGCTCGATCCCCTTGCGACCTCTGGCCCGCAAGCGAGAAGTCTGGGGGTGGGCGGGAAGGCGGATCGGGAGGGAGTGGAGGGGGGCGGGAGGGGGGGAGGACGGGCGACGAGGCGGATGATGATGATGATGATGATGATGATGATGATGATGATGATGATGATGATGATGATGATGATGATGATGATGATGATGATGATGATGATGATGATGATGATGATGATGATGATGATGATGGTGATGATGATGTGATGGTGATGATGGTGATGATGGATGATGGTGATGATGATGTGATGATGATGATGATGTGATGATGATGATGATGCTGATGATGATGATGATGATGATGATGATGATGATGATGATGATGATGATGATGATGATGATGATGATGATGATGATGATGATGAGATGATGATGATGATGATGATGATGATGCGGAGGAGGAGAGGAGGAGAGAGGAGGAGGAGGAGGAGGAGGAGAAGGAGGAGGAGCGAGTAGGGGGAACAATAAGGAGGACCAGGAGGCGTGGGAGATGGGAGGAGGGGGAGGAGGAAAACGATGACGAGTTGAAGAGGAGAAGGAGGAGGAGGAGGAGGAGGGATGAGAAGGAGGAAGAGGAGACGGAGGAGGAGGAGACGGAGAAAGAGACAGAGACGAATTGAAGAGGAGTGGGAGGGAGAAGGACGGTGGGAGAAGGGCTGGAATATGAGGACGAGTCGAAACATGAGGAGGGGGAGGGTGGAAAGTCAGAGGGGACCGCCGATGACTAGGAAGGAGGGGAGGAGTTTGAAGGGAGGGGGTAAAGGAGGAAGGCGCGGCGGCGGTAGATGAAGCAGACAAGTTGAGAAGGCGGAACTGTAGGCGGAAGGGGGAAGTAGAGCAGGACGATGGTGATGACGATGATCATGAGCAGGCGGATGATGATGCTGATGGTGATAACGATGTTGATGACGATGATGATGCTGCTCATGCTGATGATGAGGAGGATGAAGAAGAAGGCGATGATGACGATGATGATGCTGATGATGATGACGATGATGATGATGATGATGATGATGATGATGCTGCTGATTATGATGCTGATGATGATGATGCTCATGATGATAATGATGATGACGATGATGATGCTGTTGATTGTTTTGATGACGATGACGATTACGATGGCGATACTGATTATGATGATGCTGCTGATGATGATATTGCTCATGATGATGCGGATGATCATGATGATGCTGGTGATGATGATGACCATGCTGATGAGCGATGATGATTATGATGATGACGATGAGGAGGAGGACTATATGCTGCCGGTGATGGTGATGCTGACGATGATGATGCTGATAGTGATGCTCATTATGATGGTGATGGTGATGATGATGATGCTGCTGGAGATGCTGCTGCTGCTGCTGATGATGCTGATGATGATGGCATGGTGATGAGGACGCTGATGATGATGCTGATGATGCTGCTACTGATGATGATGATGCTGCTGATGATGATACTGATGATGATGATGCTGATGATGATGATGATGATGATGATGATGCTGTTGATGATGATGATACTGATGATGCTGATGATGATGATTTTGATGATGGTGATGGTGATGATGATGCTGATGATGATGATGATGATGGTGGTGATGATGATGATGATGATGATGATGATGATGATGATGATGATGATGATGATGATGATGATGATGATGATGATGATGATGATGAGCGCGCAGGAGCGGGAGCGAGACGAGAAGTGGCAGGACGAAGGACATGGGCCGAGGAGCATGGTGCTGCAGGGACCAGGAGGGAGGGCGGAGGAGGCCGTTTGGCTGAGCGGTGCAGCCAGCTCCGCCGCGTCGCACGCAGCCCGACGGCGGGCCGGGACAAGCGGTCAGGACAGTCGGAGCGCAGAATCGCTTGGCGCCCAGACAGGCGGCCACCTCGTGCCTCGCCCTGGACGAGGGCAACGCCAAGGCGCTGCACCGCAGAAGCCTCGCGAAGGAGGCTGGCTCCCCCCCCCCCGTGGGATCGGGCGAGGATCGCCACTGAAGGGGCAGGGTGGACAAGCAAACTGAAGAAGGAAGAGGAAGGGAAGACGGAGAAGGAAGAGGAGGGAAGACGGAATAGGCAGGAGGAGGAGGAGGAAGAGGAGGAGGAGGAGAAGGAGGAGGAGCGGGTAAGGCGGAGCAGAAGGAGGAATACCGCGGCAGCGAAGAATGAGCTGCGTGAGTTTGGAGAAGGCGGGAAATGAGGAGGGAGTAGGGACGACAACGAGCAAGAGGAGGGTGAGGATTATGATGATGATACGCATGGCCAGGCAAACTCAGGATGCATCAACGAGGCTGGCACACACCCTTCCTACAGTCCCATTGTCCCTTCAAGTAGTGGCCTGCGGCCCATCTTGTCACCCTGCCTGGATCGCGGGTCGGAGTACTATTGGACGTTTCCTTGGATTTGTGAGGATGCTTCTCGGGGGCCTCTTGAGGGCCTTCTTTGGGGTCGTTTGGATGCCTCTTGGAGGCCTCTTGGATCCTGGCTCTCTTGAGGGCCTCTTGGGGGCATCTTGGGGCGCTGGGGGGCGCCAGAGATCCCCAAGACGACCCCAAGCTGGCTCCCAGAGGCCCTGGCCCCAGGAACGCCCCGAGAGGCTCCGCGGAAAGTTCCAAGACGGCTTTCACGACTCCCCAGGAGCTCCCTAGAGACCACCCGCGAGCCCAACACGGCCCAAGATGCCCCAAAACGCCCCCAGAGGGCGCCTGAGCCCCTCCAGCAGGGCGCCCCCAGGAAGGGTTCCAAGACGCCCCAGAAGGCTACCAAGAGGCGCTCCAGAGACCATATGTTTCTCTTATGTGATGTATTCCTCTTCTTCCGTCTCACTCCTACCTTCTTGCTGCCTCGCTCTTTCCGTTCTTCCCATCTTCACCCTCCTTCCCCGTTCCATGCACGCATACATGCGCTTCAAGGCCGGAGGCCTTTGGGGACCTCTACGGGGCTCTGATGGCCTCTGGCCTGCAGGGGCCAAGCCCGACGTGCGATTCCCCACCATCGACCTCGCCCCGATCCCGCTCTGCTTCTGGCGCGATCCGGGCCTGTTTCCGCTCCCGATACGGTCTGGCGGCTCGATTCGGCTCAGGCTTGGCTGTGGCCCAAGCCCGCGCGGAGGCAGCTGCCTTGGCGCCCCGGGGGGGGGACCGCCCCCCGCGTGCGCGGGGCGCGCGGTGCGGCCGGGCATGCCGGGCGGTCGCCTCGCCCCGGGGAGCGCGCCCGCGGCCGATCACGAGAAGCTCCTGGGCAGGGCGGGCGAAGAGGCCGGGGCCCTCGAGCACAGGACGGCCGCGGGGAAACCGGATGCGGCGGGCTCGGGCGCGGAGCTGGCACGACGAGGGCGGTCCGAGGCGCAGCGCAGCCGAGGTCGAAGCCAAGGCCGAGGCGTGCACCAGAATCAGAGCAGGAGCGGGGCCACCCAGCAGGCTCGGCGAGCAGCACGCCGTGGAGCGGTGCTGCAGCCTTCCCTGAGCACAGCCCCCTCCTCGAGCAGCAGCCAGACACGTTGGGCTTGCACACCCATGCCTTGCTGAAATCTGGGTGCGCGGATGCTCCAACCCAGACAGATGGGGCCTCGGAGTACGCGACGCGGAGATCCCCATCTGTGTATCTCATACTCCTGTCACGTCTCGCTGGGGAACTCTGTCGGTGAGCATCTGGGTGTGAATCCGCGTGGACGGCAGGCAACAACAACGACGACGACAGCGACGACTTCAGTGACGCCTTCCTTTTTCGGGCATCTTTCAGGAGAGACAAGTGGACGATGCAGGGGGGATTCCTTTTGCCGATCTCACAGCGGCAACTCAAGCAAGCGCGCATGGCGTTGCTACGAGTGTCCTCTGGCGTGCTGGTCGCGGTGCCTGCTGGCATTCGGGGTGTCCAAATGCCACGCCGGCTATATCGCAGTAGCCACCTGCGTGTAAGCCTTTTAGAAGTGCGAGCGAATCGGCATGCGAGTCATCTGGGTCCTAGCGAGTTGGAGCGTGAATGGACCAGGTCCGATTAATACAACTCGTCTGCGAGTGTCAATGTTGGGAGTCTGAGTGCGAGTATGTTTGAGCATGAATGGGTCGGTGTGTGAGCGAGTCAGAGTGCAAGTTGGTCTGAGTGTGAGTGAGCCGGTGTGCGCGTGAGTTGGTGCGAAGCTGGTGAATACGAATGTGGATGCGAGTGAGCTTGGCACGAAGTATCTTGAGTATGGTTGAGTCTGAGTGTGAGTGACTCTGGGTGTGAATGAGTATGTGAGTCAACAGGGTGTGACTTGGCCTGCGACTGAATCAGACTAGCTACGAGTGAGTTTACGTCTGAGTGCGTCTGATGGTATGAGTGAGTCAGAGTATGGGTGAGCCTGAATGTGACGAATGAGCCTGGGTGCAGAAGGGCTGCTGGATAATGCGTCTGAATGAGGGAAGCAGAGGACGAGGACGAGGAGGAGGAGAAGGAGGTGAGTGATAAAGTGAGGCACATACAAATCAAAACAGAAGTCTGGGGAACAGAAGGAGGCAACACGCTGGAGACATCTGGGCGCGATTGCTCGAGTGTTCCCACCAGTGGCGGCTCTCCCGTTGGGTGCCCAAGTGCCGCGCTTGCTTGAACGTGGCGAGCAGTGGACCACAGAAAGAAAAATATCGCCGGGACCGAAACAGGCCAACTACATGAGACATCCCCGCAAGCTGGGCGCGAATGGGCCAGTGCAACACCCTCAGGCGTTTCCCCCTTGGATGGTTCAAGTACCACGCCGTCTATGTCGAGGTGAGAGTGGACCTTCGAAAAAAAAGAAGTTTGGGGGACAGAAGCAGGCAAACACGTGAGACGTCCCATCATCTGGGCGCAAAAGGGCCATTGCAACACCCCCAGGCGGCTCCCCCTTCGGGTGCCCAAGTGTCACGTTTGCTATATCGCGGGCGCTGATCCAGACAACTATACGGGGCAGAAACAGGCACGCCGCGTGAGAACTCCCCACACTCTGGGCGCGACTGGGCCCGCGACGTGCCTCTTAGCGGTTCCCCCTTGGGTGCACTCGAGTGAGAAAAAATCCGTGGGCAAAAACAGGCAAGCCGCGTGAAACATGTTCACAATCTATGCACAAATGGACCCGTGACGTACCCCCTGGCGGCTCCCCCTTGGGCGTGCTGAAGCCAGCACCTCGCCTGAGGCATCCTCACAGTTTGTGTGTGTGAGAGAGAGTGATTATGAGTATGAGTGGGTTGGATTGAGGAAGAGGAGCGGGCATGAGTGTGAATGTTAGTGAATCTGAGCGTGACGAGGTGAGCCTGTGTCAGGGAGTGGCGAGATGAGCGCGAGTGTGAGTATCAGCGGGACTGAGTGTAGGTGACTCTGAGTGTGACGGAGTCTGAGTATGAGTGGATCTGAATCCGAGTGAGTTCCAGTGCGGTGGCTTCTGAGTATGAGCGCAGATGATCTGAGTGGGTGTGGGTGAGGAAGAAGAGGGGGCAGAGGAGTGAGGCCCGGCGGCGCGTGAGCAAAGAACAACCATCCGATATCATGAGATGGGCCTGTTGTCCTCTTGGGCCTCGGGGGCCCGCCTTCGGGCCCCAGGAACCGTCAAGTACTGCTCGGGACGGGCCGCGTGGCCTCGGGCATGGGTCCAGCGAGGCCTGGGGGGGGGCCGCGCGCCGAATGCTCTGAAGCGTTGGATGTTTGGATGCCATGTCCTGAGAGGCCCGAATGGGGGCCCGAAGGTGGCCCTGGAGGCCACAAGAAACCCTTCCCCCCCCCCCCCAGGAACACAGAGATGGCTCAGGTGGTTCCCGAACGAATGGTCCCGATAGCAGGAGGGACGGACAAAACCACACAGGCACAAATACTCACCGAATCCCCGGTGGAAGACGAACACCCAGAACATATGGAAATGAAATAAGGAATCCTTGGATTTGTATTTAGTCATTTGTGAGCCCCCGGGCCGATTCACAATTTCATTGGCCGCAGTATGGGTCAGCCCGGAGGGGCAGCAGCCGAGGGCGCATCTCGTCAGATCTGCCGCCCCTGGTGTTTTCAGCAGCGGTGTGCTTGCCGTGCTGAATTTTAGGGGTGGCCTTTTTCCATCGGCAAGCGACGGGGGGGGGGCGCGAGAAGGAGGAGGCCTTCTCAGAAGGCGGCGAGGCCTCTTTGGTCTTCTGAGAAGTTTTCTGTGGTTTCGGGGAAGGCTTGGGCAACTTCTCAGAATGCCCGAGGACTTCCGAGCATTCTGAGAAGCCCCGCCTCTTCTCTTTCCCCCCCTGGTCTTGCCGCCGACGTTTGCCGTTTAAGGGGTCTCTCACTGCCGCGGCTACAGCCAGGACGCTGAAAGAAGGACGACTTGGCCTTCAGGCGAGGCTGTGCGCTCTGTTCGGGCGGTTCCTGAATTAGAGTTAGGCCGGGTGGCCTGTTCGTGGCCTGGGCTGGCCGGGGCCAGAAAGTCCTTTGCGTGCCCCATACATCGCCACTCTGCGGCAGCCCGATGGCCGCACACGCGGCCCGGACAATCTGTCAGGATGTACCCCGCGAAGCGCCCAGGGTCCAGCTCAGAGCAGACGTTGGCCGGAGTGGCGCGAGGGTCAGGAAGGCGGCGGGTTTCTCAGACGCCCTCTCCTTTTCCGAGATCTCCCAGGACCCCCCCCCTTTGCCTGCTTCGAAAGTCTCCCCCCGTCGCCCCGCCCTCCGACGCGCCGTTCTGCCCTTTGACGGCGCCAGGGCCTGGGACCAGCCTCGCCAGAAACGCCGAACATCGGACGAGGGCCCGTTGGGACAGCCGCGCATCTCCGGCCCAGCCCACGTCCGCCCCAAATCCGTTCTCGGACCCCTCCCAGGCGTCCGTCCTGCCCCCTTGTTCGAGGCGGATCAAGCCGTGGCGACGAGGAGCCCCCAAGAGGCCCAGAGATCGGAGCTGGCCCCCCTCCGAGACAATCCAGGAGACTCATTTTTTGAACCCGGCGAGAATATGTTTTTTCGGCCCCGCCCGCTCCCCGCCCCCCTGGCTAACCTGACCAGGTCGGTTGCGCCGGTCTGAAGGGGGTACGTGGTGCTGGCGCACGCGGGCATGCGGGGGGTTGCCCAAAGCGACAAGGTTTATATTATCGGCCAGCCCCTCCCCCCTACCAGATAATCTAGGTTATCCCCGAAAGATAAGAACGATCCCCAAGTCTAGATGTTTCAAACACTTCAGACAAGCAGAGCTGGACTTGTCTCCTCAGTGTCGTTTAATCGATCCCTATCCCCATCCCCATCCGTTTCCTCACCATCCCACCACCCCAGTTAGGGACATGCCCTTCGAAACCGAAGGGAGCCGCCTGTACCTCTATCGGGGGGGGGTCAACTCAGCCAGTGGGGCCCAGGCCACGCCTGTGGGGATAGGTATCGGCCGAGCGAACGCAAAAAAAGCGGAGTCGTCTGCGCCGACCTTGCCGCGCAAGTTGCCCGCGCAAGGTCACGCGTGAACGCCCTCATCTCCACTGTAGCGTTCCACGCTGGCGGCCCGCGGAAGCCGCCGCCTGAGGTCGCTACATACGAGAGAGCGTATTTCACGGGCGCTTGCCTTGGGAACATTCGGCGGCGCGTTTCGAACTAGGCCCCCCCCCAACTTTCGGCGCTGTCGATCAGAACCAGGGGGACTTCCCTCCCCCTTAACCCCCCCCCTCCCGAACCCCCCCCCGCCTCCCAGGGGGGGGGGGGGGTCGGGTTCAAACACTCCCCCCTCTCGGCGCCGGCGCCGGCGCTGACGGTGACGGCCGCCAGCAGCGCCGACGGCAGGCCGCAGCGATGATGACCAGAGGCAGCCCAGCGGGGGGGAGGGGAGGGGGGTCCAACCCCCCTTCCCGCGCCGGAGCCGGCGCTGGCGGCGGCCAGCAGCGCCGACGGCAGGGACGCAGCGACGATTACCATTACTATCACCACCACCACCACTACCACCACCACCACCTCAACCCACCACCACCACCACCAGACCACCACACAACGACCACCACCACCACCACCACCATCGGAGCCACCATCACCACCACAACGACCACCACCACAACTCACCACCACCACCACCACCACCAACCACCTCAAAAACCCACCACTACCACCACCACCACCCACTCTACCACACCACCACCACCACCACCACCGCCACAACTGCCGCCACTACCAGCAACACAACCCACCACCACCACCAACCACCACACCACCACCACCACAACCCTCACCCTCACCACCTCCACAAACCACCGCCACCACCACAATCCACAAACCACCACCACCACAAACCACCACCACACCACCACTAAACCACCACCACCACCAACAACCACCACCACAACCACAACAAGCCACCACATCACCACCACCACAACCCCCACCACCGCCACCACCACCACCACAACCCACTACCACCACCACGAACCACCACACACACCACCACCACCACCAACAACCACCACCACAACCACCATCACCGCAAGAAACCACCACACACCACCACCACCACACCACCCACCACAACCACCACCACCACCACAACAACAAACCACCACACCACCACAACCCCCACCACCGCCACCACCACCACCACAACCCACTACCACCACCACGAACCACCACACCACCACCACCAACCACCACCACAACCACCACCACCGCAACAAACCACCACCACCACCACCGCCACCGCCACCGCCACCACCACACAAGCCACCACCACCACACCACCACCACAACCATTACCACCACCACAACCACCACGACTAACCACCACACCAACACCGCCACCGCCACCACCACCTTAACCCACCACCGCCACAACTACCACCACCACCAGAAACCATCGCACCACCACCGCCATCACCGCCACCGTCACCACCACCACCACCACAACCTGCCAACACAGCCGCCACAATTACCACCACCACCACCAACCGCACCACCACCACCACCACCACCACCACCACCACCACAGCCCACCACCACCACCACATCAGAGAGGCCCCAAGAGACGCCCAAGAGGCGACCAGGAGGCTGCACAAATGCGCTTCAGAGGCCCCCGAGAACCCTCCGACGAGACCCCAAGAGGCATCCATCAGGACTCTGACCCAAGACCAAAGCACGGTGGCGGAGCTGCGTCGTCGTCGTCATCGTCGTCGCCGTCGTCCTCGTCGACGCCTCTGCCGCCGCCGCCCGCCGCCGCAGGCGCCGGCGCCGTCCCAGAAAACGAAGTCGTCGTCCCCGCCGCCGCCGCCAGCCGCCGCCGACGCAGGCGCCGGCCCGAGGAGAGGGAGAGAGGAAAAGTAGGAGAGGAGGGGGAAGGGAAAGGGGGGGGGGGAATTCGAACACCCCCCACCCTCCATCCAGGGGGGGGGAGGTCCGGTTCCCCCCCCCTCCAAGCGACCACAGAGAGCGCTGTTTCCTACATACCGACTGCCCGCATAGTAAGGATGGACAACCTCCCCAAGGGTGCCTTTGCATCCTTGCCTCTTCGGCCCATCCTTGGCCGCTTTCGTTGGCCGCGCCCCGCTCGAAAAACTTTAAAAATGGGCGTCCAAGGCCCTCGCGTCCTCACCGTGCGTCCTCATGATACGGGTCGACTGTATGTCATCTCGCGTAAGACCCGTTCGCGGCCGCCGCTCAGCTCCGAACGCCCCCCGACAGGCCCCTCGCCGCCCCGCTGGCTGGCGGCAGGCGGCGCCTGCTCGTCGCGGCAGGGCTGGCCGCTGCCGTGGGCCTGGCGGCCCTCGGGGGCCTCCGCGCCGGCGGCGCGCTGCGGCCTGGCGGCCCGCCAGGCCCGTCGGAGCCCCCAGGCGCCGGGTCCGAGGAAAAAAAGGTGCCGATACAGGCGGCCCGGATTAGTAGGTCGACCCTGCCAGTTCAATGGTACCCTTGTGTCCTGTGTCTCGCGACCGACCCATGCTTCGTACATTCGTGTGGCGATGCGGCCCCCGGAAGGGTCTTGTGTCCTCTCGCGTGTCCTGCCCAATCGAGTCCGACTGTACCGCCGTTCGAAAAATGGAGCCAGGGCATAAACATAAACTTGCGGCGGTCCGCGCGGATTCTTTGGATCCGCAATGGACCGCCCCGGCGGCGCCTCCAGCGCCGACCCTGGCGCGCTGTCCGCTCGCCAGGGAGGGGGGGCCCAGCGCAGATCCGAAGAATCTGCGCGGACCGTCGAAAGTTTTCGTTTACTTTTTGTTTGTGTTTCGTCTCGCGACCTTCGCCTCGGTTTCATATTTTTTTGGTCATCCTGCGAGGCCCTCGTCGCCACCGCTGGATTCGTTTCGAAATTCTGGGTCCAACAGCACACCAGGCGATGTCCAGGGAGTTTGGTATTGGTATGTTTTAGCTTCCCGATCGGGTGCGCGTAAAGTCTCGAAAAAACAATCGATAGCATAAACACGAACTTTCGGAGGCTCGTGCGGACCTCAAACAGCTTATGTGTATTACGTGCTCGATCCTGGAAGCACTTTTAAATATACCATCGTCTCTTGTTGTGCCTTTTAGTGTCTTCTAGTGCCCTTTACAATGCCCCACCATGTCCTCTAGCGTCTCTTAGCGATTGCCGCGCTTGATGCGGGACGCACCGTGTAGGGGTTGGTGGAATTGAATCTCGCCTGGAAGTCGACGGACAGGAAGGTCGGGGGAAGCCCCTGAAAGCTTCCAGAAATGCCGAAAGGTCGGCGGAAGCCAGGGGAAGTTCGGCGGACGGTGGGACCTCGGCAGATGGCAGACCTCGGGATTAATGCAGAAGGTCGGCGGAAGCTGGTGGAAGTACCGGGGCGTATACTCCCGAGGGGGAACGGCGGTCGAGGCCCTGGGGAGGGCCATTCTCCGTCGAAGGCCGCGGGTGGATTCCTTCGCTGCCCCTGTAGTCGATGGGCAAGGCTTTCAGATGTGATTCGTGTTGCCCCCATAAGGAATTTCAGCACCATCACCACCATGCCTGGCCAGTGCCATCCTGGGCCTGCGGATGGTGCCTGGCCGTCCGAGCCACGGGGGTCTGTTCACTGCCTAGAGGCGCTGGATGGAACTGGCCAGGCCTGGTGCTGTTGGTGAACAGGTGCCTTCGGCGAAACTCTCGTTTGGAAGCCTGTGCTGATGGCAAGGGCTCCCTCGAGGGCGCGAAGTTATTCGCGCTTCGCGCTTCGCGGTCCTCGTTCCTTCTCCCCCTCCTCCTCGTCCTCCTATTCTCCCTTTGGGAGGGCGGCGCGAGAGCGCGAAGTTATTCGCGCTTCGCGCTTCGCGGAGCGCGAAGCGCGAAGTTGGGAGCCCTAGGTGAACAGGTGCCTTCGGCGAAACTCTCCTTTGGAAGCCTGTGCTGATGGAACGCCCCGGGACATGCCCACAGGACCAGCCTCGGCTGATTCGACGAATGAAAAAGCGGAAGAGAGTGTGAGATTCTGGGTGGCGACCTGACCTCATCGCACGCGCGTGCTCGTGACGCTGAGCCCTCAGCGAGGTAAGTGGAACCAATCTCGTGGCGAACACTGGAAATCTCGCGACGCATGTTGGAGCCAAGCTCGCGGCACCATCGGGAGTCAAACGTGTGCACAGCCTTCGTGGCGCTATTCGTCGGGCGAAAACAGGAACTGGAGGGGGGCGGGGTTGGTGTGGGGGGGGCGGCGGAAAGTGGTCTGGGGTACCTGCCGCGCAGCTGCCGCGCAGCTGCTCTAGAGGGTAGTCGGGGTCGAACTGATCGCCCAGCACTGCTGCCGACCTATGGGGCAGCGCAATGCGCCACGGGCGCCCGACGAACCTGTTGCATGGTGCGTATTTGCCGCACCTGGCACATCTAGCGCACCTAGCGCGCTGGGCACTTGGCGCACCAGATGCACTTGGCGCTCTCGTCGCGCCTGGCGCCCCTGGCACGTGTGGCGCGGTTGCCACGCGGCCACGCCCTCCCCCGCGAAGCCTTGGCACGGCCTCGGACATGGGCGGCGCGCTCACTTCATCGCCCGCGAGCTCCTGGCCCTCGTCCGCGAGACAGCCTTGCAGCTGCCCCGGGGAGGGCCAGAAACTGCAGAAACAACCCCGCCGCCGCCATCCCCCGCGGGTTCGCGTGGCCGTCCCCAGGACAACTTGCGGCGCGCGTGGGGGGATACGGGTGTGGGAGGAGACAGCGGCGGAGGAAGTGTGGGCAGTGTGGGGTGGGGGGGGGATAAACATATAACAATCAGCAACAGGAACAAGAGGAGGGATGCGAAGGGGGAGGGAGAGGGGCGATCCTGCGAAAATGCAGCGACCAATGAATTGTCGTGCCTGCTGGAGGACGCCGCGGCGTCAGCGGCTGAGGTCACAAACCGTTGCGAAAGCGAACCGCCGCCGCAAGCTAGTGGAAGGCGCCGGGAATATGCGCGAAATGTCCTTCCGCCAGGTCCTACAAGGTGCGTCCCGCATGAAGCGCGGCAACCGCTAAGGGATGCGCGAGGACATGATGTGGCATTGTAAGGGCACTAGAAGACACGAGAAGGCACTAACATGCACAAACAAACACGGACGTATGATCGAGCATATAATGTGCATGCAACTTGCGGTTCCTCTGGGATCCTGCGATCTTGGCGTTGCATTTTTGTTTCGCACCTGGCGTCTTCGCCCGTTTTCGGGCCAGGCGACCTCACAGATCGATCCGGCTCGAAAAGTGACGCGGAACTATTGGGTCCAGGGCTCAGGTCGCGATTTTCCGCGATGTTGCCAGCTTCTGCAAGGCCAGATCTCAGGAGAGTGGCCCTTCGCCGGAGTGACCTTTTGGTGCGGGCCCGCAGGGGTCACCGCAGCGCTGCCCTCCGCGCTAGGACTCGTAACTCCCCCCTAGCCCCCGAAAGCCGCGCACCAGGTGTCATTCTTGCCCAGGGTCGCTCCTGCGTGCAGCCGGAGGCTCTTCCGCAAGCGCGGGGCCCGGGCGGCGCTGGCCAGCGTCCAACGATGACGAGCGCGAGGGGTCTGCTCAGCTGATCGACACCACCATGGATGCGGACAACCCTCTGCTGATGACCTTTTACATGTACCGGGCTCAGAGCGACTGGGACTACCCTCTGGAGAACGTGAACGCTGCCGACCTCCCTGGCGTGATGTACTACCTGCACAACGAGGTCTTGGGCGGGCAGCCGAGGAAGTACAACACCACGAGGATCTTGCGCTACAAGGTCACGGTTAAGCCCACGAAGGAGGTGTTCGACAGCACGAACACTCAGTTCGGACCGTTCCTGGCGTTCGACAACGGCAGGTGCACAAGTCCCACTTGCGCTGAGACGTTTCGCAAGTTCGGGTACAATGTGGGCTGCCAGCTCCTTGACCCCACGTTGTCGGCCTACGCGTCGCCCTTCCAGACACAGCGCGGCTGCAAACCGACTGAAACCTGTCCGGGAGTCTGGTTTTCTCTGCCAGGGCAGTGCCCGACAAAGGACCTGCTGGACAAGACGCAGCAGTGCGTGGAGGAGGAGATGGGCGGCGCGTGTGCCTCTGTGACAGGCGAGAAGATCTGCACGTACCACTACGAGCATGCTGGAGAAGTGCGCATGGACGAGCTCTCGGGGCTGGATGACAGTACAAGGTGGTGGTTACCAGACAAGATGGGAAGGAAGAAGGCGGAATACGTCAAGGATCTGGACGGAGGCGTAGGCCCCAGGGCTGCACAAGGGAAATTGAGAACCGGCTGCTCGGACGTAAACAGGAAAGGCATAGCGCCGGAGGTGGGCGAGAGCGAGGGATGACGGCCGTGGAGTGTGTGTATAAGACCACCCCGACCCGAGCTGGCTATCTAGCCAGAACTACTGTTTCGTTGAGGCCCAAGGCCCTCACGGAGGCCCAGAGGGCCAAGAGAGTCCAGAAAGGGCTTCTCATTTAAGGCGTCAGAGGTTGGACATCGTCCAGGGACTCTTACTCTTACTTTCCTCTGCGCCCTGCTCTCTACTCCGTACCATGTACGATCTGCTCTTTACCGTCCTTCTGTTTGGCCCAATCCTTACAAGTCTGGAGTCCTGAACCCAGAGCCCATCACACAGGAACCGTGGATCCCAACCACTTGCCGAAATCAGCGGCACGCTCCTGGGAACCCGGGAACCCAGGTCCCGTTCCGCCCACCGAAGACGAGCAATTTGTGTTTGTGAAGCCTTGATCTGGCAGTCTCCGGAACACGGGGGTACGGGATCCCAGCGGCCCACCGACATCGATCACCCAGAATTGTTCGACAAGTCTTTCAGCTTCCAGTATGGCCCATTCAGTGCAAGCGCTGGTTTGGGAACAAACTCCCGCCTCGCAAAAGGCACGCACTTCTGGGACGGCAAGATGAATGTCAGCAAGGGCTCGGAGCGGCAGAGGAAGGTGCTCGACCTCTTTCAGAAAAAGTACCCGCAGCTGCCTGAAACGTACGGTCAGCCGCCGTGCGACTTCACCCATGTGTAGGAGCGCGCCTTGTTACATAGACTAGAGGCTTGCTTTGCCTGACAGCGGGCCCCCGACCCTACAGACCCCCACGAAACCCATATCCACGGCGAGGCTTAAACACCGCCAGGGCTATAGGTGTTGTATGATGTCTGGTAGGAGGTGCCCGCTCGACAAGGAGATTGTTGTTCTACCCTCTGGCGCGTAACGGTCATCACTCCCCCCCTGGGTAACGGTACCGATCGCACGTGGGGGAGGGGGCTGCACCCCCGCCCACATGTTGGTGCTCGTACGCGTACGATGGCGATCGCAGTGCACCCCCGCCCCGACGTTCCCCACCCCGCCCATTCGTTACAGCTACCAGAACGAAGACACCAAACAATATCAAGGGGGCCCTTGTGGGAACCAACGACGACGAAGAAGACGACGACGCCGCCGACGCCGACGACGATGACGACGACCACAACGACGACGACCACGACGACGACGACGATGACGACGACGACGACGACCACTATCACGACCACGACCACGACCATGACGAGGACGCGTCTCACACAAGCTGACAGGGTCGGCGGGTATATGTATAAAGTTGCCTCTGCAACTGCTGGTGGGCGATTGCCCTTTGCGGTGTCCCGATGGTGTTCCAGTGGTGCCCCGATGGTGTGTCAATCAACAGAATGGATTGCGTCTCGATGGTTTGTATGTGGGGGAGGGGTCACGACGCACTCTCACCTACGAGGACCTGAGCCTGCCCAAGCACTTCCCGAATTGCTTCACGCTCTTTGGACGCCCTGGACGTCCGCGGCCCTCTCCCCACTGCCCTCCTGCCTTTCCTCCTTCCGCCTGTTGTGCCTGCTTCGCGCAGCAGCCGCCCTGCCGTGGCTGGACTGCATCGTGGGTCCAAAGCGCAGCCGATGAACAATGCGGAGGAAACAACCAACAGCGATCGCGTCTCGATTATTGTGCCCCCAGCGCGGAGGAGCACGAGACCGCATAAGCACGAACCTTCGGAGGTCCGCGCGAATCTCTTCGGTTGGCGACGGACGCCCCTGGCAACGCTTCCAGCGCCGCCCTGGCGCGCTCTGCACGCCGACCCAGACAACGGAGCGCTGGTACGCCCCGTTCCCGGCCCCCTGCCCCCGTTTGTCTGGGCGCAGGCCAACCTGCTGGTCATGCAGTGCTGCGCCGTGCTGGTGGGTTGGCGCTGGGCTCGTGGCGTGGCCGAGAACAGCACAGCTCTGGACGGCATGCCGCACCTGGGCGTCGCATGGCATCGCGTAGCTGTGAGCAGCGTGCAATCTCATAGCGGTGCGTGCAGCATCAACCCCGTTGGACAGCGCATCAGGCCATGCTTCTCGTTAACATGGGCATCCATCCTTACCACAGCATTGCGCTGCATGGGAGTACACAGCGTTGCCGACGATGGTGTATTATTGAATTGCGTAGCAGAGCACAGCAGTATGTTTCCTGCGCGAGGCCCGCCGAGGAACCCGTGGAAACCCCAGGGTGGGGATCGCCACCCGATTTCTTGCACGAGAGGATATAAAACCTTTTAGGCGAACGCCATCTGGGGATTGGCACATGGCTTTTCTTGTTCGGATGCCGCCTCCCAACTGCTCGCGCTCCAGACGCCGCTGATTTTATGCCCCAGCCCTTCTGTTGCCTGCGTGAGTATCTCGGCTACGCTTGATCATTTCGCATGATTGAACTTGGGTGCGGGCCCGCATGGGTTCCCCCAGCACCACCTTGCTCGCTCGGGTTCTGATGATGGGCGCGCTCGCAGCCCGCCGCGGCGGTGGGCGCTTCCGGTCAGGGCGCTGGTCCTCTGCAGCGGTTGCGCGCCATTGGTAGGAGCACGACCATGGAACGATGTTCGCCACCGCCACCGCGCACAGAATAGCGATTGTTTTTGTCCTCTGACGCCTACCAGTCGTTACCCGGGCCCCCAGCCCCACTGGGTAACGGTAACGATCGTACATTCAAGGGTTGGACCCCCCCCGCCATTCTGATGCTCGCACGCATACTATCGCGACCGCAGCGCAGCCCCGCCCCCGACGTGCCACACCCCGCCCAAGCGTTACCCTTTCCCTGGGTCCCAAGCCCCCCTCCCCCCAGGTAACGACCGGTCACAATTTCACAGTGTACACTGTTTCGGGGTAGGGTCACGACCGTGAGACGTCCACGACAGTTGTACACTACGTTTCGGGCGGCATACCTTGGTGTATATATGTGCGGCTCCCCCCATATGGAGTGGCAGCGCGCCCTTTGAAGGTAGAGTTTCCTTGGATGCCGCGACTCGGCCTGGAGATGTTCGGGGGCCTGGTGGTGGCCTCCGCAGGAGGGCTCTGGTCTTTACGGCGCTCCTGAGTTCTAGGGCGGGGGACGTATATTCTTGGCCGAGGTTCCCCGTGGCCAGAAACGTCCTTTCATTCCTCATTCGGCGTCTTTCTGGTAGCACGGCGCCTGTACACCCCCACAGTGCCTGGCCAGGGCCATTGTGAGCCGTATATGGTCCACAGACCCTCCTGGTCTCGGCCGTGACGATTCAACTGTATACCATGTCGGGGCCCAAGACTGCCCTAGCCAGGCATGGTGGTGGTACGCAAGCCCCTTCTACGTATGGTCACGGGAAAGGACATGACGAGGGCCGGGACTTGATCCTGTTTATTTTCTTGCTTCAGCAATGACCTGGCCCCGTCCTGTCCTGCCCCCACGCAAGGGCGATTCTTCGCTAGGAGTCTGAGGAGGATGGAGGTCATAATCAACAAGCATCTGCGCAGGCATCATGACTACAGTATCTGTCTAGACAAGGCTCACCATGGTCATCAACATGACCGCCACCATGATCACCATCACGGCGCCATGATGTCGAGGAAAAATCATCATGATAATCACCATCATCATCATCGTCACCTGCATTACCGTCGTCATCAGCGTCATCATCATCAGGATCATCATCATGTGTCATCATCATCTTCGTCATCAGCATCATCACCACCAGCCCCACCACAGTCACCACCACCAACATCACCATGATGATCATCATCATCACCATTATCATTCTTGTCATAGCACACACCTTGATGGTGTTCCGTATGATCATAAGCTGGCATTCCATTTGGCTCGCAAGTGTCGTTATCAACATTGTGATCGCAAGCATGACGATCACCAGACTCATCATCACTTCGTAGCCAGCGGTGATCGAAGTGGCGCCCGTCACGCGCCCGAACACGACATCCCTTGCCGCATCACGTGCATCTCCTCTTGACTCGTCCGCGCGACGTGCATCCGAGACCCCAGGGAACTCTTTATGCACGCAGGAGTGGATGATGGCATCTCGGCAGTCCCACGTCGCCTCGGCGAATGTCGCTTGGGCGCCGCTTCTGATACGCAGACCAGTTCATTTGCGACGAAGCGTGAATTCGACGGTCGCTGGGCAAAATGCCCGTGGCCTTAGGGCCCGCGGCTCCCAACGAATTCGAGGCGTCGTGCTCACAATAAGAGGACTCATCTCCCCCCCCCCCCCCCGCGCGCGCAGGCGAGGGGGATGGAGGTCGGGGCGATGAGCAGGGAGAGGTGCGGGGGGACGAGGGAGCAGGAGGCCCTCTCCCTCTCTCCATTCCATTTTCTTGCGTCTAGCTCCTCCCTGTCGCACCCCGAGGCCAGTCGGGTGATTTCGCCTGCGATTCCTCACCATTGATGGTCCTGAAAAATGGGCAGCAGCACAGGTAGAGGGCGGATTGTTTTGAAAATGTGGCTCTCACCTGAGCGCCGCGCACATTTGTCTTAAAAGCTTGCAGCAACTTCACGGATTGAGGGCTGGCGTTATTTTCTTGTGTTTCCCGCTTCTTGCGCCGCACAGATTCGCATTAACAATTTGCATCAACATGTGGTTCTCCCCTTAGCGCCACGTGCACTCGTCGTACGCAATTGAAGGAGTTTCACGGGTTGAGGGCTGGCGTGTTTTGAACATTTGGTTCTCACATTAGCGCCGCGCGCGTTTGCTTTTAAGATTTACAAGGGTCTGGCATAATGAGGGCGGTTCCATTTAAACATGGTTCCTTTTAAACATGTGGTGTTCGCCTTATTGCCGCGCACATTCGTTTGAAATGTTTGCAAGGGTTTCGTGGATTCCCATGGTCATCGTACCACTTTTTGAAGCGGTTCAGGATGGTGAGGAAGCAGCAGTTACGTTGAGTCTGTGTTAAAGACCCAGGAATGGTGTATTTGCAAGATTCAGGACCGTCAAGACGCAACAGTCAGGTTGATTAGCGGCGTTGGAGCCCCGAGGCTGGTGTTTTGGCCCACCTCAGGACCTTCAAACGGTTGTCTCCCGATGGGACACTTCCCCCCGCCTGTGTGGGCTCCCCCAGCAGCCCTGGAAAGTGTCGACAGTTTGACGCTTCGCAGCCTCCCGAGGATGGCGAGGTCCCGTTTGGGTCCGCGTGGGACCCCATTGTGCGGTCTCCCCCAACAGCCCTCGAACGTGGCGACAGTTTCACACTTCGTAGCCCCCCAGGGATGGCGAGGTTCCGTTTGGGTCCGCGCGGGGCCCTACTGTGCGGGCTCCCCTTGCAGCGCTCGCAAGTGGCGAGAGGTTCACACCCCGCAGCCCCCCAATGATGGCGAGGTCTCGTTCGGATCCGAGTGGGACCCCACCGTGCTGCCCCGCACAGCAGCCCTCGAAGGTGGGGACAGCTTCACATTTTCGCAGCCCCCGAGGGATGGCGGGGTCCCGTTGGGATCCGCGCGGGGCCCCCCTGTGCGGGCGGCTCTCCTGGCCGCCCTCGAAAGTGGGGACGGCTTTGCATTTTCGCATCCCCCCAGGGATAGCGAGGTCCCGTTTGGGTCTGCGTGCTGGCACCCCCGAGCAGCCCTTGGAAGTGGGGAGAGTTGCACACTCCGCAGCCCCCCAGGCATGGCGAGGTCCCGTTTGGACCCAAGGATGGCGAGGTCCCGTTTGGGTCTGCGTGGGGCCCCGCTGTGTTGGTTCTCCCTGCAGCCCTCGAAAATGGCGACAGTTTCGCACTTCGCAGCCCCCCTGGTGCGACAGACCGGCTGGGCAGGACAGCGAGTCAGGAGGTGTGCAAGCAGGCAGGTGCAGGCAGGCGAGAAGGGGGACAGGGGGCGGAAGGAGGAGAATGGAGGACTGGAGACCCCATGTCCTCATTCAAGACGAGATCCCAACCGAGGGATTGCTGGAACAGAATCAGAAGCAGGCAGCCCGGCAGGGGGCCGGGCCAGGCCCTGCGAGACTTGAAGGGCGCCCTGGAGGACGCCGTGGCGCTGCAGGGTCTCGGTGGCGGCCCCGAGGATTGGCCTAGCCGTCGCCGGCCACCCGCCGCCGCCGTCGACGTCGTCGCCTTCGCGGGGGCGTCCAAGGAGGGGGCAGCGCTAGGGTGGGGGGTGGGCATATACGTTGTTCAGTTCTAATTATTCGAGAGTTCTTTGGTTCTTGGGGGGGCTTCCATCCTGGGCCTCTTCCTGGCCACTGGGGAGCCAGGAACAGTTCGAAACGAGCACACTTAGAAATGAGCACGATTAGAGATGAACGACGTGTAGGCACAGGGTTTGGTGCATCGACCCCCCATCGCCCATTGATCACCGACAGGGGCCCGATAGCCCCAACCTGCCCAGGAACGTTCGGGTTCACGATCGGAGGACAGTCGCCCATCTATCGGCGATTGCATCGCCGATTCCATGTCGATGTGTTCCCCCCTATGCCAGTCACCCCCTTCTCGTTGCCCATCAAAAGTGGAGACAGTGGTGCCTCGTCGTCGTCGTCGTCGTCGTCGTCGTCGTCGTCGTCATCATCGACGTCGTCGCTATCAATCCGCCGCCGCCGCCGTCGCCGTCGTCGTCGTCGTCGTCGTCGTCGCCTTCTTTGGAGCGTCCAAGAGGGGGGGGCCTTCTCTGGGGCGTCCAGGAAGGGGGGGGGGACCACAGTGGGAGCCCAGGCCAGGGCACACATGATGTTCTGCTAGTGTACCTTTGGGTCTCGTAGATTTGTGCCCGGATCGAAGGCGTGCTGCGGTCGTGAAGAAATCGTAGCTGGCAGGGTACCCTTGGCTTCTTGGGCGCTGAGGCGTTTTGATGCGTGCGTGCGCTGTTTGGGGAACCCTGAGTTTCTTCGCTGGCAGCCGCTTCGCAAGATAACCACCCTGGCACAAGAAACTCATGCTATTTTCAGGGTTGGATGTATTGCGATGGGTTGGTTCTTTGCGGAATAGTACTGGCTGCAGGTGACGCTTTATTGTAGACCTGGACAAGCTTGCTTACATGGCGCCTCGCCCCCCCACCCCCCACCACCCCGCCACCTTCTCGAGCAGCGCTGGGGAGAAACGGCGTGCGAGTGGGCCTCGACTTGCGTGAAGTCCAGATTCCCGTTCGGGCCTCGCCACGCCCACGCCTCACCCTCCACGCCAGTAAACCAGCTGGAGCCTCAGGAAAGCACAGCCTGCTGGGGGGGGGGAATGAATGCCTTGGCCGCGGCCATGGTTTCGCCCTGGATCTCATGGCCCCCTCTTTTTCTTTTTCTTGTTCTTCTTCTTATCCTTCTTCCTCTTAGTCTTTAGTATAAGTATTAGTATTTTCCTTATTCGTCTTCTTCTACCCTTTGTTCTTCTTCCTGCTCCTCTGTTTCTTCTTCTTCTTCTTCGTCCAGCACGTCCCCCGCCCCTCCTTCGTCTGGGCACGTGCCTCGGGCCATCTTCTTCTTGCGAGCCCCCCTCTTGGACGCCCCCCCTCCTGGGACGCACCCGACCTCAGGAGGGCGCTCGACGGCCGCTCCCGTTGGGTGCCGGGAAGCCTTCGGACGCCTTCGTTCTCGGGTCGTTGGCGGCCTTCGCCGTCCCCTTCGGAGGCCTTCGCCGCCGTCGTCGCCGCCGCCGCCGCCGTCGTCGTCGAAGGCCTTCGAGGCCTTCGAGGTGCGGCATCATCTGGAGGTCGTCGGGGGTTGTCGCCGCCGGCGTCTATAGTCTGTCCTTGTCCGTCCCTGTCTTTGCCGGTGTTTCCAAGGTCCTCCACCGTCTTCGCCAGGATCGGAGGGCCTTGAGGGCTCCTGCGGGTCGTTGTCGTCGTCGTCGTCGTCGTCGTCGTCTTCGTCGCCGTCGTCGTCGTCGTCGTCGTCGTCTTCGTCTTCGTCGTCGTCGTCGTCGTCGTCGTCGTTCCAGGTTCGAGCGGCGCGTCGGGCTCGACTCTGGGGGGTCCAGGGGCGCGCTCGTGCCCACGGCGGGGTACTCGCCTCCGGCCTTCTGATCAGAGGGCGCCCCGGGAGCGGTCTGGCGGTCGGCCTTTCCGTGGTCGTCGGGATCGTCGTCGGAGGAGGCGGAAGAGGGGCGGGCAGAAGGAGGGCGAAGCGAGGAGGGAGTGTGGAGGAGAAGGAGGAGGAGGAGGTTGTGGAGTAGGAGGAGGAGCAGGAGGAGGAGGAGGTGGAGTAGGAGGAGGAGTGAGTGAGTGAGTGAGTGAGTGAGTGAGTGAGTGAGTGAGTGAGTGAGTGAGTGAGTGAGTGAGTCCCTGGACGTAGTCCAAACCACCCTTAAACAGGAAGCCCCTTCTGTGCTCTCCTGGTCTGCTCGGCCTTGCTATAGACCTTCGGCCATAACCTTTGCCTGAGCCTATCAAAATACGTGATCTGGGCATGGGAGGGGACACGGGAACACAACTTCCCAAGCCCAACCAACTGCTGATCACAAAACATGCCGCTTGCACGACATAACCACACATGCACGTCAATGTTATACGTGAGATCGTGGCTTCGACAGGCCCAACCCCCCGCGATGTGCAGCTCACGACCTGGGGGCAACGCACGGAGGGTCCCGTCCCCACATCAAGCTCGAAACAGGGGGTCACCAGCCATTTGTTCAAGCTGCCCATGGCCGAGGATCCCCGACAGCGGAGACACCTCCTACCAGAATCGTCTAACAAGTGAGAGCTACCAAACGCGGAGGCAACGGACACACATGGCCGCCTCGCCCTGACCTGCCCAAGAGGAGGCGGGAGAGGCGAAGGAGGGGGGGAGAGAGACCCACACTCCCTTCACTCACAACAGCCCTCTGCAACCTCTCACGTTTGGCGAGCCTGATGGCCTCATCCTCGGCCTCCAGCGCGTCGACGTGCGCTCGCAGCAAGCGCATCCGCACTCAGAAGGCCTGCTCCTCAACACGAGCCAGGCGACCGCCTGGGAAGCCGCCTCCCCTGCAACAACATCCGCCATCGCATTACCCTGCACCAGCCAGCTGGGTGTTCCAGCTGCAACGAGCTCCTCGCCAGACTGGTGAACATTCACAAACAACACAATCACGTGACCAGCTTCTCGCGTAGCCATCTGTACACCGATTTGGGCCCACAGGTCGGCGAACTCGCCGCGCTGCTGGCACACATGTTTTTTTTTTTTTTACCATCCTGCACACACTTTCACATTGTCAGTTACATACACAACATGATTTTCCGTGATCACCAATGCCATCAAACACATACGCAACGCACCCCTCGGAACAGATTGGTTTCGGCCCGCCAGAGGCCCCAACAACACCGACTCCACAGACAGGTCAGATTCGGATCGCACCTGGACGAGCCCACAGCCAACACGTCTCCAACGAGTTTCCCGAGAGCCAGGTCCTCCACGAGCATCCCCGAACAACACAAACAGGGGCAGAAGCGGATCCGGGGCCCAGCACGCCGCTCAAGATTCTATCCTTCTTGCTGGCCAGACTCCCCCAGGCAGCCCGGGCTTCCTCCTCAAAAGGTGGAGGGATCCCAGTCCATGCTGTAGGGGTAACACCCCGAAGCCAATATGCTGCGTACAGATCATGCTGGGCAATCGCCTGTGGCACCAAATCCCCGGACCGAACGTATGCATCCGCCTCCCTGTTCTTAGGGCACGTCCAGCTTCGGTGAGGAGGAGACTCCGCCGATTCCTTACACCGAATACACATAGCAGACACTGCGACATGAATAGCAAGCGCCGCCCGTCGCTCCCGAGGCCAAGCCCCTCCAGCCGCAATACTGACGAGGTTCTCAGCTAATCTGCGACCCTGAGGCAAAGCCTCCGGATACTTAAGAGTGACAAGCCAGGACGTCTGATCTGCACCGTTCTCAAGGCCCGCCCGCTCTGCAAAAATGACCAGCGGCCGTCAACCAGCGAACTTGCTCCGACGTCTGGTTGAAATCTTCGAAAAGGCCGCTTAGATTATTCAGCGCTATGTGTTCGTGATAGGCATCTTCAGGAACCCCACCAAGATACTGCATCGGACAACCTCCACTTGGTGGGGGACTTGGTATCCTCTCTTCAGCAACGTGATGATAGTAGCGTACATGGGTCCCCTGGCCCACCGGGACCTACGATTCGGTGGCATAGATAACAATTTGGCCAGCAACATAGGCCAAGTTCTATAGACCGATGGGCGGCTTTGAGGGTGTTGGACTCTCTGATACAACCAAAGGGATAACACTTCAGCTGGAAAAGCAAACCCAGGGTCACGAGCCCCTTCACGAATGGAAAACAGTGTGGTAAGCACGCCCCTTTACTCCCAGCACTACATACCGCTGCTAACTTCCGGCGACGCTGCTGCAACTTGCGCCCAAACGTGCCATGAATAACCTGATTCTAGTTCCCAGCTGTCTGGGCCCCACGACGCTCCAGCCTAGACGCCACCTTATACTCTTCAGAGGCTCTCGCGAAGCGAACGACACGGGCATGGAGTTTCGCATGTTTCAAGCCGCGCTTAGTCCTAGTGGCTCTGGCGAGCCGTCTACCTCCACCCTGGTCGATGCCCAAGAAACCCGCCTGCAGTGCTGCATGGACGACATGTCCCCGACGACGCACCCGACGAGCAATCTCCCGTGCATCCTGGGCGCGTGAGCAGACCACATATTTGGCAGCAATAGGCAGGTGAAGCCCCTCTCAACTCATCAGCAGCATCCGCAATGCACGCCGTCATCTGATCAACAATGGCACGCCGTGGCCCAACAAGCGTCTGAGATACATCACCCATCGTGCCCGATGTGAAAAACGTTCTTGCTTGCGAGCAGTACGCGCGATAACGAAGTGCGTAATGCACTTAGCAAACTTCGTGCCCCCCCACGCAGTCCCTGGATTGTGCATCACGTCTCCAAGAAGGGTTCACTGACGGCCCCCGCTTGTTCCAGAACCTCGGGAGCCATACAGTGGGTGAGTTCCAAAAAGGAGGCGCCCGGGGGGGGTGCCCCAGCTCCAGGGCCTTGGCCACCAAGAGACCGCACTCGATGTTATCGTCGAAGCACTGGATGTTGGTGAGCCCGTGCGCGAAGAAGTCCCCAGAATTCCCGAGACC